AGACAAACGAACACGTAAATCTTATTGCGTTGTCTTTAAAGACAAGATTGTCTCATTCATGTTGCATAAATGCCACAATGCTTTCAATGGCAAAGACAATGGATCCACAGAGGATCACCCGAGCGCTGCATTGTTGGTAGTGATAAGCAAACTTAATCAAGAGGCGAAATCGCAATTTCACTAACCACATCCTATCCCTGAATACCATAAAAGAGATTAGTCGTAGATGAAGTATATTCGGGTGAATAACAAAGGTCGACTTGTTATGCTCGCATTGTTGGGCATTGATGGAACGGCAGCAGTGTCAAAGGGCCTCGTGAGGGTGCGCCAGTGGTAAAACTTTCACTCCTATATAACCTTTGAACACCCGACTAAAGCGGGATGATGGAAGCTGGAAGCGTGAAAATTGGAGCACCTTGCAGATAATGGTTACAGCTTAGTTACCACGCTATCATCAATACCGCCTTCGCCATATCCATGCCAATGTAGACGGTAAACACCTTGGGGGTTCACATAAGTAACTGTCACCTCGTTTACGACTTTGACAGTTCACACATTGCGACTCTGGCATGATAGATTGGAGACCAAATAATTGGCACGGCAGCTCGACAAAGTGCTATAGCAGACACACCAGGAACACCCATGTTGGTGTGTAAATACACGTGCAGACACGGTTTAGCTCAGTTTACAAGGTATTGATGTGATATTTACATGAATTGAGGCATCCGCGCCTTCAGCCACGAATAAATACCGCCAAAGGTGCAATTACACCTTTCAATTATTCGACTTTAAACGGCCAAATGATTTTCAGAGTACACAGATGTTTGGAGGTATGAATACACCAAACCGCCAGGCCAAATACTTCAAGATCATCAACTAACCAAACAGTCGTGCTAAAAATGAGGTGGAAATACGACAGGAGGTGAGAGAGTCCAACAACAACCACTACTAATTATGACCTCTAACTACTTACACCAACGACGTGTATCAGCTGAGTTCAGAAAGCAACAGCTCCACCGACTCCATCCGCGATGAAGGGACTTTTGCTCATCGCCTTGATCGGATGTTTTGAATGCAAGGGCAAGAAGCCGCATCCTAAGCATAAGCTACTCTGAAGTGAGCCAATAACAGTCTTCTATGAGAGAGAAGCAGGTGCGCTTAAATCCGCTTTTTGTTTTAAACAAAGGCCAAAATAGTGTGCACCAAGTGATACGCATCTCTCAGGGAAAAACTCGCACAGGTTGAAGACAAGTAGGTTGAGGACACGGCACGAAAGTTACTGAGCGCACACTGATAAAAAACCTCACATAACTCGCACATTCAGCATTAATTCCTCTTAAACCACCTAGCCTCGGCTTGAACGAGGATGCATTTCAAGAAAGCTAGGCCGTTTCCGAATGCCCAAGCATCAATAACCACGGCGCCCAACTAGATGGGTAATAATGGGTAGTAATGACAAAAGTACATGTTTAGAATGCCTCCATTGAAAGACTGACTTTCGTGGCTCCGCAATGCCTCGACAGTTAATTACTTGAGGATTAAAAAAATCGGGTTCGTTTTCATAACCCATAATGCTGTGCGTTTGCTAGTGGGAGGAAAACTTAATTATATGGGAGAAGGGGTGGGTAAACAGATAAAATGGTCTCATAGAAAGCACATGCAGAGCCACCAACGAGTATTTGTAATGCGTGACAGTTTAGTTATTTTCCATGATGGTTCACCTCCAAATGCTACAAATTACAGACAGGAAACCTTACGGCCATAACCGAGCAGTTATTTAATGAATGAATGAATGAGGAAGATTAGATAGGACCTGGACATTATCCTCTTTGAGTGGGATAAGCAAAAAGCTTCAGGTTTTGCTAGACTTACTGTAGCCGGAAGATCATGGGTATTTGGATCGGCAGAGAAGGTGTTAACGTAGATACGAATTGTCGATCCCGAGCTACCGGTTCCACTCATACGATAGACAATTCTCGTCTCGTTGTTCAGCATTATGCGAATGCCCTACAAAAGTAGGAATGTCAAAGACAAGCGAGTAGGGACAATTCACAGTAGACCACCCATCAAAACCTCTCCACAAGACAAATTGCTAACCTGATTTTTGGAAACAGAATGATCGACTGGATCAGTGTAAGAGAAGTCGTCGATACCGAGCACCTTGAAGCAGGTTCCGCAATTGGTAGTGTAGGTGCGACCAACAAATTCAGGATCAGAAAGCAAGGACTTCACGCGTTCCATCACCTGCTTACCCTGTTCCTCTGTGCAGTTCTCATAGTCGTAGCTAAAAGACACCAAGTATTAACCTATGAACCTACAGTTTCAAAGTTTATTTGAGATTATGTGGGCCTTCCGAATCTCAACGACTCCAATCTCCTCGTCACCTGACTCAACTCCATGGGTCACAACAAAACTACCCCCAGACCTGCATGTCTCAGACCTTTCACAACGATGAATCAAGAACAGTACAAACAAGTCTTGTAAAAGATAAGCTATTTTTCATTGTTTTCAAAAAAGTACATCCATGCGAATAAACTAGTTAATAAAGGGAGAAAAACAAGAAGACACAATGATTTGACCCGTACGCATCGACTTTTGGCAAGCAATTTGCAACAAAAGTCAAACTCGTCCTAAAGTAATTTGAAAAACAGCTAAAATCGAGGTAAAAACAGAGCTCCTCAAGAGCGTCAGTTATAGAGTTCGAATAATGACCATAGAGAAAGTGAAGGGCGAGGTTGCTAAGGAAAAGGAAGCCAAAAAGTGCTCATTTTTAACCAAACTACCGATTTCGACTTCTTACTATCCGACATGAACGCCGCTAGATCTGCTCAGTGATGACAAAACTAAGGCCCAACGCAAAACATGTTTACATTCGACATGAAGCGAAAAATTCATCGAAAGTGAGAAGGGTAAAGATTGAAGAACTAACCGAGTGAAAAAGTCTCGCCCATATTTACTCCAATGCTGGCGCAAGACATCACGAACGTTGGCTGACTTGCCCTCAGCCTGACGAGAGGCGAGGATGGAGACCCAGCAGAGGAAAGACCAGATACCGTCCTTTTCACGAATGTGGTTTGAGCCCGTGCCAAAGCTCTCCTCTCCGCACACCGAGGCCATCTCAGCATCCAAGAGGTTGCCAAAGAACTTCCAGCCAGTCGGCGTCTCAAACACAGGTATGTTCTTTACCTTACAAACTCTGTGCATGGAAGACAATTCATAAGAAACTCAGAAAAGACTCAATGAAGTCCTTTCAACAATACCTATGCGATGAGAAGATCACTGCTGTTAAAAGGCGTAGCAATAATTGTAGCAACGCTAAATGACTTAATACATTTTGGCATTGGTAGTGACCTTATGCTTCTAGATATTTGTAGTGCAAAGAAGTGGGCAGGTTGGAACCGGCTTCAAGAGCACGTTGAGACTGATTATGAGGTGAAGTAGGTGATCAGACAATAAAATTCGCCCTAAGTAAAACAAATTTTCCTAATGATTAAGGCAATGCGTGTTAGAAGACGCTTAAACATTAGCCCAACAACAGGAGACCGATTAAGAAGCGTTTGAAAGAGCAAATTTTAACCTCAAAGCAGGATGCAGTTATGTGCAAATCAGACTCTTAATTTTGACAGTGATGTCAAATTTAAGCAGTCCTACCTGACAAAAAGTCAGGCACTTACTGCGGGTAATGCGATCTGTAAAAAGATATGGATGTTTAAGTGAAAAAAAGTCGAACACACAGAGCAATACTACGTCAAAACTACCTGAGAAAACGAATTGTCTGTACAATAGTATTC